AACATTGGTGCCTTTGAGCTGCTATACATGGTGAGGAAACTCACCTCGCACTACTAAATCACACTGATAAACCCTGATTGTTGGCCGAATAAATCCCCGAGCTATCAATAACAAAAAAAACACCCATTTAACAATTGGAGTCAAATCTATATCTTTCAATCCATACATAGGGTAAAAAAAGACCATTTTACCACTTACCTAGTTTGGTCCAAGACTAAGGCCCAAACTTTAAATCTAAAAAGCCCAAAAATCAAATAATTATATGAGGTCCACATATGGCCCAAATCTCCAAATTAGGCCCAAAACCCTATATGGGCCTTACCTTAAAGCTCAATAACTTTACCCTGGTCCAAAACACTTATTCTTAGATGGCCTAATAATTCCCCAAAAAACCAAGCCAAAAAGATAGCCCAACCTGAAGATAAACATGTGAGGCCCAGCAGACCAAGAAAGTGGGGCGTACTCACCATGTATGCTCATCATACTCACTTAGAAGCTTTTACATTGAGCCTACCTGCGAGTATGCCCATCGTACTCACCCATTTAGCTGAAACTCGAATTTTGTCCTTAATCCCATAAGACATAGTGCTAAAATATAGATCTGACTTGCTTGAGTTGGAATATCACGTAAGGCTTCTAACTTTACATTCATGCAAGGCTAAATCAAGCTCTTAAGCTTAAAAGGGACTTAACAAGTGACTTAACGCATGCATGACACCAAAAATCTCATAAATCTTACACCTTTATGCTCAATGAGACTAAAACAAACTCAGATCTAAAAAGAACAAGCCTTCAAACAACTTAACCGTTCCATTAACCCAAAAAGGGACCAAATGCATAAAAAACTAGCTATAAAGAGATCTAAATATATACAAGCCAAGATGCAAACTTGATACCTCATAAATCTGTCCCATGAGATGATGATTTTGGATCCAAAACCTTCTCTCCAAGCAAGACAACTTCAAGCTTCTCCTCTTCCTTCACAATGGCAAAAATGGGTGCCAAAGTCTTCTTAATAGCTCAAGAACACCACAAGGAGGTTAAGGGTCGATTTTAGGGTTTTTGAGACAATAAAGGCTTGTGAGGAGGCCAACCATGAGGACTTCAGGCCTTTATATAGGGTACAACACCCTAAATTAGGGTTCCATCAAAATTCACGTACGCTCTGCGTACATATATGTACGCCCAACGTACATGACCGAAGTATTTTCCTAATCTCGGATCTGTACCCTAAGCGTGCGAAGTGGTATGCCCTGCGTGTACTCACTTTACAATTTGTACAGTAAGTGTACCAAGTGTTACAATTCTCCCCCACTTGAATCAGACTTTGTACTGGAAGTCTGTTGCCCCGAAAAATTCTGGATAATGCTCTCTCATATCATCCTGGGGTTCCCAAGTCCACTATGATTTGTTGCGGTACAGCCAATACACCGTCACCAACTCAAAATCCTTGTTCCTCAAGGTTTTCATCTTCTGATCTAGAATCACCATGGGTCTATCAATGTAATTCAAGTGGTCATTCACATGAATATCCCCTAAAGGTACCACTGCGGAATCATCCACTAAGCATTTCTGCAGCTGAGAAACGTGAAACATGTTATGAATCTGACCGATCACAGCTAGAAGATCTAGATGATATGCAACCTGGCCTACTAGAGCCAAAACACTAAAGGGACCAATATATACCTAGGACCTTGGTTACCCCGCTTCTTGAATTGGATGCCACTTTTCCAAGGTGACAACTTCAGGAGAACAAAATATCCCACCTGGAACTCTAAGTCTGACCAGCGACTGTCACCATAACTCTTCTGCCGACTCTGTGCTGTTTGGATCCTACTCTGTACCTGCTAAATCAGCTCAGTGGTCTTGAGTACCACCTTGGTACTCCCCATAACCCGTTGACCGACCTTCCCCCAACAAATCGGGATCTAGCATTTCCTCTAATAGAGCATCTTAAAAGGAGGTCGATTAATGTTGGCATGATAACTGTTGTTATACGAAAACTCAACTAATAGAAGTTATGTATCCCAACTCACACTAAAATCTAGAAGACACGCTCACAGCATATCCTCGAGGGTTTGAATAGTCTGCTCACTCAGACCATCGGTCTGCGGATGAAACTTTGTGCGGAAATGGAGACGAGTACCCAACTCGTCATGGAATCTCTTCAAAAACCTGGAAGTGAAAAGGATATAAATCTCAACTAACTTCTCTGTAGAAATATTATACATAATTGAAATGAAATGCGCGCTCTTGGTCAAACAATCCACAGTGACCCAAATCGAATCCACTCCACATGTATTCCTGGGAAGCTTCGTGATAAAATCTATAGTGATGACCTCCCATTTTCATGGGGGCATCTCCAGCGGCTGCATCTTGCCATGAGGACAGTGATGCTCGGCCTTGACTTTCCTGCAAGTCAAGCACCACTCCACATACCATGTCACATCCTGCTTCATGCAGGGCCACCAATAATCCAGATGAATGGAGAACCTCAACTTGTGAGCCTCCTCCATCAGAATTTGACGTACACCACCCCAATACGGAACCCAAACTCATCAGTGCAAAGTCAACAATCTATGGCTATCATAATCGAAGGAAGCTACCTGACCCACAATGCGCTTTCTCTTTCAGTGATCTTCCTTCATAGCCTCACCCTGAACTTCACGAATCTGCTACAAAAATGGAGTAATCACGATCATCATTACACAGATATCTCTGATTGGAGCCGTGAACGCCTTGCGATTGAGAGCATCGGCCACCACATTGGCCTTCCCCCGGTGAAAAAGGATCTCATAATCATAATCCTTCACCACATCGAACCACCGATGTTGCCTCATAATTAGATCTGAATGATCCATAAAGTACCTCGGCATCTTGTGATCTATGTAAATAGTACATCAGACCCCATAGAGGTAGTGCCACCAAATCTTAAGGCCGAAAACCATGGCCCCCAACTCCAAATCATGTGTCAGATAATTCGCCTCATAAGGCTTCAACTGCCTCGAAGCGTAGGCGATCACGTGACCCCTCTACATCAACATTGCCCCCAACCCTGAGATCGATGCATCATAATATACCATGAAATCCTCAACGCACTCTGGCAGGGTCAAAATCAGCATCTCACAGAACTGCTGCCTCGAGGTCTCAAATGATTCCTGCTGCTTAGGCCCCCAATGAAATGTAACTATCTTCTTGGTCAGTGGAGTCAAAGGAACAACTATCATGGTGAAATCCTTGATGAATCTCTGATAATAACCAGCCAAACCAAGAGAACTCCAAATCTCAGATGGAGACCTCAGAACCTCCCATTGTATCAGAGCCTCGACCTTGGACGGATCAACCAGAATACCCTTCTGGTTGACAAGATTCCCCAGAAACTACACCTCGTGCAATCACAACTCACACTTAAAGAGCTTTACGAAAAGCCTATCCCTCCTCAACGTCTCTAGCACTTTCCTTAAGTGCTCCTCGTGATGCTCTTAAGTATTGGAATAAACCAAGATATGATTAATGAATATTATCAATGACTGCTCCAGCATCGGTATGCACACGCGGTTCATGAGGTCCATGAACTCAGATGGTGCGTTGGTGAGCCTAAAAGGCATCACCATGAACTTGTAATGACTATAACGAGTCTGGAAAACGGTCTTCTACATATCCTCATCCCTAATCCACATCTGATGATAACCTGATCGCAAATCAATCTTTTAGAACCAAGATGCACCTTTAAGCTGGTCAAAAAGATCACCAATCCTTAGGAGTGGATAACGGTTCCTCACCGTTATCTTATTCAACTCTTAGTAGTCGATACACATACGGTGAGACCCATCCTTTTTCCTCATAAACAGGACTGGTGCTCCCCAAGGCAAACTGCTCGGTTGAATAAATCCCATGTCTAATAGCTCCTGCAGCTGTGTAGACAACTTGTGTATCTCAGGAAGAGCCAACAGATTCTGTGATTTGGCTATCGGAGCTGCACCCGGAACCAGATCATCGATCCTAAACTCCACCTGCCTCTCCAGAGGCAGCTCAGGCAAATCCTTCGGGAATACATCTGTGTAATCTTGCACAATAGGTACATCATCCACAGTCACCTTACCCTTATCCCGGGTATCCATAACATAAGCGATATAACAGGTATAACCCTGCTAAAGATAGAGTCTACCCCTTGCTGCTAAACAGAAAATCAGCCCACACTGAGATCTCTCCCCATGAACTACTATCTCTCCCCCACTTAGGTTCTGAACCCAAACTAACTACTGCTCATAGCCGATCACTACCCAATTAAGGCTCAAACAATCCATGCCCACAATAACCTTGTTCCCATGTAGAGGAATAAGAACCAAGTCAACTAGATATTGCTCACTAAATAACTGTAGAGTACAAACCTGATGAACCCTCGCAACCTGAACATACCTATCATCCATAATCTCGACATCTAAAGGACAATCCAGCTCCCCTGGAGCTCCAACAATTCTCTTGCTCAGCTCAGGCGATAAAAATGATTGGGTAGCCCCCGGATCAAATAATACCATAGCAAAAATACCGTTCACAACGAAATGATCCTAAAATAAAACACATAAAAATAAACAAGAAATTCAATCTAAATAATGAGATAATGAGAAGATACATACCCTTCACCACGTCAGGAGATGAATGCACCTCCTTGGCTGTTAATTGGAAAGCCTGGTGGGATACACTACAAGAAAAACACGATTTGGCTAGGGAAGCTTACTATGGAACGTATTTTCATTGTTAATTTGCAATAAATCGTGCTATGGAATGTCATTCCATAGCAATGTTGCTACCACATTGTCTATGGATTTTATTTCTGGTAGCGAGAGTGGGAGTTGCTAGGGAAAATGCTACCGACTCCATATCCGTTGGTATTATGCTACTGATAGTTCTATGGAACAAAATTTTATAGCAATTTTCCAATGACATTTGTTACCAGATCACTTTCCGTTGTACTGCTACTATGGAATTCATCATCGTGGTTAATATGCAACGGAGTTTGTGACGGAAACCGATTCCATATTTGAATTGCTACGGAGGTACCATTCATAGGTATTTGCTCTGCGGTAAGCATCGTTGAACATGTCCAAAGCTTCCTGCTTCCTATGTCTCCCTTCATCCATCCACATGATTCCCATGACAAATGTTGAATCCAAATGTCCCAATGAAGATGCTTCTTCAAGCATCGTTTTCCCTTCATGTTTAGCTTCTAAGAAAAATAACTTCATCTAAAAAACATAAACACATAATTTCTATTTAAACTTATGCAAAGCAAGTAACAGATTAATTACTACTATGCATATATATATATATATATATATATATATATATATATATATATATATATATATATATATATAACAACGTACCAATTCATTCATGAATAGAATATGTGGCTTTCTCATCTCTATGCATTTATTGACAACTGCATGTTTCTGGTCAAACCAAATACGAAATCGTAATCCATCTAACTCCATATGTTATATACTTCATCCGTTTTTCCTGCCTCGTTGAAGAATCTGCAACTGCAAACGAAACACAATATTTGCTCCATAATGTAAAGACAACTCAAATACACTTGTGAAATAGAATGATCAAAGGCAAAACTTACACACTCTTCATCCTGAAAGCCTCGACTGCTGCAATTTTTGCCAAGTCGACTATTATTTTCTCCATCACTTCAAATGGCATGCCTGTTAGCGATTTTGTTTGATTTCTTTATTGATCCTTAGAAGAAGTACTTGATTCTATAATAATAAACATTCACTAAGATAATGATTCTGCAAAAAATGAGTTTAGGGTTTTTTGACTGTTGGAATTTTGAAATTGGGTTTGTTTGCAAGTGACTGAAATAAGAGTGAAGAACTGAAACAATGTGTTTCGTCGAAAAACATTATGGCACCTAGAAGATGTTCCATTATAAAATGACCAAATTGTCCTAATACATACAATGACTCGTATTTAATTAGTAAGCGTAGTTTGGTAAAAAGTCATATTTAACAGAAAAATCAATTTCTCTTTTAATCAAGGTTGTAAAATTCGCTCGTCCGTCGCTCGACGGTCGATTGGCGATAAGTGATTAATCAGACTCAGCAGGGATTAATCGGGGACTCTAAATTATTAATAAAATTATTTAAAAAATTAATATTTCCTACAAAATTAAGTATTTGAAAATTTTAAATTTTAATACACAACCGGCACAAATGATATATGTTGACCAATGACCCACATGTCATCCATATGTCAACCACGGACATCATAAGCAACTACAATGTTGACCAATGACCCATATTTCATCCATGGTACTCCATAAGAAACTACCATGTTGACCAATGACCTGTATTTCATCCATGGGTGATATCATCACACCATAAGCAACTACCATGTTGACCAATGACCCGTATTTCATCCATTGGTGATACCATCACACCATAAGCAACTATCATGTTGAACAATGACCCATATGGAATCCATGGACACCATAGTCAACTATCATGTTAACCAATGACCTGTATTTCATCCATGGGTGATACCATCACACCATAAGCAACTACCATGTTAACCAATGACCCGTATTTCATCCATGGGTGATACCATCACACCATAAGCAACTACCATGTTGACTAATGAGCCATATGTCATCCATGGACACCATAATCGACTACCATATTGACCAATGACCCATATTTCATCCATGGACACCATAAGCAACTACCATATTGACCAATAGCCCATATTTCATCCATGGACACCATAATCAACTACCATGTTGACCAATGACCTATATTTCATCCATGGACACCATAAGCCATTACCATATGTACCAATGGACCATATGTAATCCATATGTCAACCATGGACACCATAAGCCATTACCATGTGGACCAATCAACCATATGGCATCCATAGGCACAGTAAGCCACTACCATGTCAACCAATGGCCCATATGTCACCCATGGACACCATAAGCCACTATCAAATATATTGACATGACCCGTACGTGTATATAAATTTTGGTTTAAACAGAAAAGCATAAAGATGTATAGTTTATTAATGTTTAGCCCTCGTATATAATTTTAAGTTAAAATTATACTATGAACACATTCTTACTCTATGTTCTTTCTTGACGTTATTGATATGTATATACCCTATTTATCAATCTGTAAATACTTTAAATAAATTTGAATTGCTAAATATTTAGCGGTAATTAGCACAGTTGGAATTTTTTATTAGCGGAGGTTAAAAGTATTTCACAATTCATTTCCCTCCAACCTACACACGTTTATGCTGCATATTAGGGTAATTAAGTTTACCGATTAGAAATAGGGTTTACATTTTCTGTAATCATCATCTTCGGTGGTTTATTGATTGAAATCTTTATTCATTATACATTTGTGCGCTGACTTTGGCGATATAGGTTGTCGATCGTCTAAAATTTATATTTATTCAATTTATTGTTGTTGTGATGATCGATCGTTTTTTGTTCTCTGGTCGTCTTCATGTAAATTGGTTTTGATTGTATTCAATAGATTTCATGCAAAGTAATGCCTTCTTATATAATTTATTTTTATTGTTTGTGTTAGAAAGATGTCGACCTCGAAACCAAAAGGAGCATCCGGTGTGAAGCCAACTAAATTCATTGCACCACAAGTTATGAAACACAACAGGATTTCTTATGCAAAATTCCTATACAGAAAATTACAAGATGAAGAAATCGACTTGCCAATACCAACAACCACATCCAAAGCACCTATAATATCTACCAACAAAACCCCTAAACCTATATCATTAACATCACGCATGACTACCACTTCCTCGGCATCACTTGAAACATCCACACCCTCCTTAGAAAAAACATTTAAAACTTCAGAAATTGGAAGAATACAATCGTCAACACGAACATCAATAACGAAAAACTTCATAACCTACATTATCTAAACCATCCTCAACACCAACACCTACTACCACATCATCAACACCTATATCCACTACCACAACCTCAAAACCTGCATCTACACTACCATCCTCCACAACTAAAATAACTACCACACCCTCCTTAAGTAAAGGAACTACCACATCCTCAACATATACATCTATCCCAACACCTACCCCAGAATATACCCCATCAATAACACATATCCTAGAATCTACCCCATCACCAACACAACTACCCATGAATGGATATGTAGTGGAAAGTGTAGAAGGTGAAAACAATTCCTCCGAAGATTGTGGACCAGATGGATGTTTTAATGTTCATGTTTGGAAAAATATGTAAGTCACCGATTCAAATCTTAATTAAAAATTTTTTATGTATTAAATTTTGGTTTACACCTACATATTAATTCATAACTTAACACATCACATGATTACTTGTAGGCTAATGCCACCAGGCCCTTGTGCACACGTTATTAGTCGGTCCTTTAAACAAAGAGTAGATCCAAAAGGGTACGCTTGGGCAAAGTAAGCAAAGAAATGCACGAATTATATTGGGAGGAGTTTCAAGTAACAATAAGTCATAAATTTTTGGATGGTAAACATTTACACTTCAACTTATGTTTATATTGTTAATGTGTAGAAAAAATGTTGTTGAGATGAGATAATAGACTCGCTGGTGAGGCAAGCTTGGGCAAGGAAAGTGGCACAAAGTTATGGTCAATATCTCTTCAACATGAGGAACCCAAAACGAAATAAACATGGCTTTAAACTAGCTCATATTCCACATGAAGTCTAGAACTCTTGGCAACTAAAATGGAATACAGAAGAATACAAGCTAAAATCTAAGCAGAACAAGAAGAATAGGCGTAACAGTGTGGCTGATGGAGTAGCAAAACCCACACATAACGTTGGATCCGCATGTCATTTCAAGATAGCTTCTGATTTGGTAAGTTTTTTAAATGGTACATCATATCAATGTTTGCATATGTTTACCTGTATATTTGACTTTTTATATGGTATTTATGCAGAAGAGGAAATTAGGACATGAGCCACCCCATAGTGAATTGTTCCTGTATACACACACTAAGAATCATGATAGGGTCACTTTCACAAATGAAAACGATAGACAAATTCATGTAATATTCATTTCAGTTTAAATTATCTTTTATATTGTAGCTACTCCATAATATCATTCCAAAATTTGATATCTTTTAACTTATAATTTTTTTTATAGGCGGCCTATACAAGAAAAGGGAAGAGTTGGAAGCTGAACGTGATGAATTTAAGGAGGACAAGCTATTTTATGTTGTTGTTGGTGGTCATGATAAAAAAAAAACAAGACTTTATGGATTAGGCTCTTTTGCAAAGGCAGTTCCTAATAGGAATGGTAAAACGAATGTATCTTACATTCCGGAAAAAAATGATGAAATAGAATAAATGAGGGAGCTTGTTGCTAAACAAAAAAAAGAAAAACAAAGAGCTTAAAGAAATGATGAACGCCCAACAAGAGGAAAACAAAGCAAGGGTCGGGCATCTTGAAAAACAACTTCAAACGGCATTAGATCTTATTAATGTCGTTAGAAAACAACAAGAGTAGTAGGTTGATATATGTTTATTGAAGATTATGTATTTTATAGTAGCAACTTTCTTTTTTCCATGCAATAAATAATTATTTTGTTATTTTATGATATAATGGTTATGATTTTTTTGTTTTTTTTTTTTTGTTTTTGTTTTCATAAGTTACTACAAATTATTTGGATATAATTTATAAATCAATTATCAATTGGTCCATATTGAATCTGGTATATAATATATACACCACTAAAATTGCTAGGGATTTATGACCATGGAATTTGCTAGGAGATCATCAAACAGATTTAGCTAGGGATTCATCACCACAAATTTAGGTAGGGATTCATCACCACGAATTTAGCTTGGGATTCATCACAACAAATTTAGATAGGGATTCACCACCACGGATTTTGCTAGGGATTCCTCACCACGGATTTTTCTAGGGATTAACTACGACAGAATTTGTGACGGATGAACTACCACAAAATTTGTGATGGAAACCTACTACGGAATACACGACGGAATACCATCTATCACGGATTTCATTCCATTGTCACAATTGCGACGGAATTATTGTTTCCGTTGCAAACTCCTCGCTATAGATTTTTTAGGGACGGAAATAGGTCGTTGCAAATTCCATCGCTATTCGTCTTTTGCAACGGAATTTCAGCTTGTCGCAACAGATTCCTTAAGTACCAAAATCGCATTTTTCTTGTAGTGATATGACCAAAACATACAATCCTATGTGTGAATGCAACCCTAATTTGATTAGATCTAAGTTTTCTCTAGTTGAACATGCAAACTTTAAATACAAAGAAGAAACCCCGAGTATGCTCCTATAATTTTTGAAATCCATATAAAATTAGGGTTTAGTTACATACCTTTAAGATTGTTATTGTAAACAATCTTGAATCCTTGCTTAAAGGACCTTTGGCAGCAAGCACCACATGTGTCGCTCCTCTACTAGTTC